GAAGTACCAAGTCTTTGAGGTTCTGGGCTTAGCCTCATGCCATTCAAAAAAATTGCAGGTAAGTCTGGCTGATCAGGCCAGATATCAGCACGGAGCTTGACCCTCTTCGTTGGATCACCAGTCAAGTCCGTGGGTGATCCCCCTGCAGAATAAAACGAAAAACAAGTCACAAGAATTGCCGTGCCAGCAGAGATATGTCGATCTTACCTGGTGCTCACTAGTGGGCAGGTCCTCTTTCCCTTTGAGGACTCGCCGCACATCACACATGATGGCGTTCTCCTGCATGGGAGGGGTGCCCCACAAAGGGCAACAGTTTATCGTATCCTTCAGCAAACTGATTGTCTCCCTCCCCTTGGATGGGCTGTAGGGCGTGGACAGGCCAGACCTCCTGAACCGGGGGAAGCCTTAGCTTCCTTCCCTTTCTCGCAAATGTACACGCTACCGGCTGTCCCAGTCGCCTCAGCACGTCCGACACCGCCAATCCCGCCCTGGATGTTGCCGCAAAGTTGCCCCACCCCCTTACAAGAGCAATCATACAGAGAGCGTGGAGAGATGAGCCCCCAGGCTGCTGTAGTGCGCCCCCCGGCACAGCTAGGGGTATATGCTTTGCAGGCCCTTACTGACCAGGACTTGATTAATGGTCACGATGCGCCACATACACGGCTTATTCGAGAACTTATCACTCAATCCCTGTGACTACAAGGGGCGCACACACATGCCCCCCACTTGGGGAGCCGGTCACACAGGGAGAAAGGGAAGAAGCCTCCCTGCTGGTGTCATGCGGCCACTCGAAGATGCCCTTGATGGTGTGCCAATCGTCCAGTTATCACTGCTCACCTCCGTGCAGAACTTTGCCACTTTCCTCAATAAACACAATGAACACACCACCTCACATGGTGGGTTTCATGGCCCCCCTCCACCGGTGCTCAATATCGTGCAGGCAAGAATTGTTGAGAAATCGATTCCTTCGACGGACGAAGTTTGGTGTTTCTCCCACAGTCCTCTTGTCCGTCGAAATTTGGTCCATCGAGCAGTTAGAATCCACTAAGGTCACTAAGGCGAAGGAGGGCGATATTTGTTGGATTTGTTTTTGATGGCCTGGTTTTGGTTCTAGTGGACGATGTTGGATTTTGAAACCGCACCCTCCTCAAAGCCGCTAGAGAACTACACTGCTGGGAACCTTCCTGAAGCCCGATAGGGAGCAACCTAGCAAAGGCCCGTGCAAAATCCAACAAAATGAGCTTGACGATCCACGAATCGTGAAACACCAGAATTGTTTGGGTCCAACAGTGGCTCCTCCGCAGGCACGAGCTATTGGGGTCCACAACGGAATTCTATGACATATTTGTTCAGTCTTCATGAGGGGGGTTCTGTGGACTCGTGGCAGGCGCCGGTTCAAGCCAGGTTGTCACGGCACTTCAGACAAAATTGACTCGCAAGTTCCCAGTACCAGCAAGACTTTGCGTAAACCACTTTCCACTTGGGGGAGTTGATTGTAGGACATTCTAAGATGGTCAAGTGATGTTGGTTACAAGAGTTGTTGTGAGTTTTTTGTAAGGTGATGAACTGATGATTTATGTGTCGCGTGTATCAGATTCATCCAAAAGTGCAAAAATCTGAGGGGAACCAATGACGTCAGGAGTTTGGTAACACTTCATGGTGTGAGACCCGCCAAGTGGTTGATTGACTTTTGTGACTGAGTCTCCAAAACACTCATTGCCCAACCAAGGGAATCTACTAAGATTTGTTCAAGTTTGTTCCGAAGTCACCATGGCCCGACCTGGCAGTCGGTCGGGCGCTCAGTCACCAAGGCGCAACTCGCGGCGTTTTCACAATGAAAAGAAGGGGGTCCTATGAACCTGCTCTGTAGTTTCCCTTGGAAGCTGCCCTGGTGCGTGATGACATTCAGTTCTTGGAGACACATGGGGTTGAAACGGCAACCAAATTATAAGCCACGCTGACATGTTTTTGGGCCCTTGTAAGTATGTGTTTTGTTTAGCTGTGATCAAGCATTCTACTCTTTGGTGTCTGTACTGAGAAGGTTTGCATTTGGTTCTCCAAGGCAAAAGGCCCGCCGCAGGGTGATGGCGTTGGCGCCGGCAGCCGAGTTCACTGCGAGTGAACATCGCAGTATCGACGCAGGCTTTTCGTTGTTTTGCCTCACATGGACCAAATCTGACCTAATCATCATGGGACCCTTTGTTTGATATTGCCTGACCATATTTGAACACAAGTCAATGAGACATGGGCGCAGCTGCCTCCGAGGCAACAGCCGGTGCGAAGGCAGGTGGACATCCACCTTTTTTATGACTGTGCTTGGGTAGGCCAAAGGTTTGGGCTCATTTCAACTTCGTCCCAGAAGGAAATGGTGTGACTTGACGGTCTTCTATCAGTTTATATTATCATTGTTTCTGGTTCCTTGGCCTAGGCAACATGAAACGTCTCTGCCAAGCAACAAATTTCAAGACATAGTGACTGACATGCTAGCGGAGCAGCGACCTATCATGGTCAGCGCCAACTTCCTCTTACGGTGGCGCGCGGGCTATGCGGTAATCGGCCCAACCTTCCAAACCACGCCAGAAAATCGCTCGGTTTGTGCACTGAAAGCCTTAAACAACATGACGCAAAGTTTTGGCCTTTAGGACTGTCAAAACCCACTTCATAGAAATACAGCAGAGTGCGTGGCAGGGCTAGAGCAGGTAGGGACATCCTGACCGTTCACAGCGCCCCTCGCCCAATAATGGCAGATGCACTTCCTTTCTTGGCTTGACTTTCTTCACCGACTTGATCGCCCGAAGCTACAGCTAAGGGACCCCAGCGCCTTCTTGCTAGTAGGCTTACTACGATGGTGGTTGAAATTCCAATGGTTGCCTATCCAAAATGCCGCCCAGCCGCCAGGACACGCCGGCCGGCAAACGTCGCAAGCTCGCCGTGCTCCCAGCTTGGTGACGGTATGAGCGAGGATTTTTGAGGTTGCATCTTCATGCAAAGCCAGAGGAGTTCGCTCAAACAGATGTGGTATTTTTCCAGGTCTGCGGAGAAGTGAGCAAATAGATCCTGGATACTGGCTGCATCCTACATTGAGCAACGGATAGTCCTGTCTTGCTCTGGAGAAACCAAGTTTTTTGAAGTGGTTTGGCACAAGCAGTTGAAGAACCAACTTTCGAGCCTCTTCAATCCAAATTCTTCAACTACTTCCGTTATTTTGGTGGTCACGATGTCAGGCATTCGATGAAGTACGGACTTCCAATCATGGACCACGCCCACCCGTAGAGCCAGGTATGAGGTCCCCAGGTCGCTTCCACTATCCAACTGCCCGTTCATGACTCATGAAGTTACCATTTTGTTTTTGTGGCTTAGCTTGTCACCGCAAAACAGCTGGCTTCTTGTGCTCTGGCGGAGCCAATGCGGCGCTTGTCTCTACCAATTGGTTCCGCTCTTGAATATTTTGGACCAATACACAAAAATGTTGGTTGGCCTACAGAGTACATGAGCAGCCATGGGGTGGATTGCTCTCCAACATCCTTAACGCAGTTTAGGCTTTGCCTGGTCTTTCATTAATTCCCGTGTAAATTCCAGACAAAGTCTGCCCACCATCAACACGTGCGACGTGCCCCTAGTCACATCAAGCTGTTGTTTCATTGATGACGCCAATTAGATCTGGAATGCGCCACATGACAGCGTCTCAATCACATGGCTACCTTCGCCTCACCTTCTAACCCTTTTGAATTCGAGGAGATTCGATTTGAGGCTATCAAGGGCAATCATTTTTACAATGTGGCATGGGCTACAACCATCTGCATGAAACATCAAGGGATGGTCAATTCATTCAATGTCCCTTTCTCCGCAGGTCGAACCTCAAGGTTGCGAGTCTGTCCAAGGTTGACGACACACACAGAGGTCTGGCATACTTCCATCAACAGTCGAAGTCATTTGTTCAAGAACTTTCTCTAAAGCTATCATAAGATATCATAAATCACGAAAGCCAGCCAATAGGCTGGGCTTGAGGTTCTTGAGCGAACGAAGTGAGTTAAGGGGGTGTGTGGGGGGGGTGGTCGCGTGGGTGGTCACTTCCGGAGAGGTGAGCCCAGAGCCTGGTGGGGGAGAGCGACGAAAAGATTTGGTAGTGAAAATGACTGGCTTTTGGGGGTGTTGTGATGCTGGTGATGTAATTGACGGCCAGTAGTGCATCATCAGCATCGTGAGGGGCTCAAGAGGCCATGTAAACTGTTGTTACTAGGGGTGGGGTGGGAGTTCACGTCGATGAGAGGACAGGGAAGACAAGGGCGCCCTTTTTATTTTTTTGATCCGTGGCAAGGTCTAGTTGGTGGACCCAAAAGGGCACCCCATATGGGGAGTATCTAATCAAGAAAGCCAGCCGTCAACTCACTTGAAACATAGACCAGCACACCATACCAAGCCTTCCCCGGACTACAGGGGTGCCCTTTTTCACCTCCACAACGCCCCGACATCAAGACGAAAAGGGGCACTCCGTCCCAAACCTATGTATTCTACTGCTACTGTCTCTTTCCATTCTATCTCGAATGCCGGCCATATCACTTCACCATTTCCGGCTCCTCTTTGTCCGCTCTACCTATATACATATATGTATCCTCCCCAAAACCTGCCGATAGCCTCGCCCATAGGCTTCCCACACCATCTTTGCTCACTGATTAGCAACACGCAGCAAGCAAACTCATTTAATGTATTTGAGGATTTTGAGGGGCGCCCTTTTTCCCCTCCAAAACACTCCTCAACCAGAACGAAAAAGGGCGCCCCCCTTTTTACTTCTACCGTCTGTTTCTACCTCCTATCGCGGGCTGGCGATGCCAACTTCGCCCCATACACGTATTGTTTGCGTAAAATTAGCCTATCACTTCATCTTCCACCCGCGCGTCGCTCTCATATATCCACCTCACCACTTTCTGCTGGTCTTTTTCCACCCTACCTGACACACTGATGTCTATATATGGGGACCTCCTCACCTACCCTACCCTACCCTACCCTACCCTTTGCCTCGCACGTGCGCCCCCGCCGCCGTCTCTGCTCCCTGGTTCGCAACACGCCACCGGCAAAGGCGTCTCACTTCCTGAGGGGTGCCCTTTTAATTTCAAAATTCATCCTAAACAAGGACAGAAAAGGGCGCTTCGCACCACGAACTTTCTCTTTCCCTCTCAGGTATTCATAACTGACAATCAGTGTTGGGAGATGTTGGGAGGTTCTTAAACATCCAGAACCAAATGCGCAGACCCCTCCTTGGGTGGACGACTTTAAGCCACAAACCTATGGCACCCTGGTTGTCCAAACACCCAAGAGGCAGAAGGTTTTCGAAAGTCGACCTAATTCGGACGGCTTTTGTTACAATGTTGTTACAAATATTCAAGGGGTACAACCCAAGGCTACTCTGGATATAGTGCCCTGAGTAGGTGGGCCCTGATGCACTTGAAATCGCAGCTCCCTTTTTTGCCGTGCCTTTTCAACATCCAAATCTACTGAGTTCTACTTCGAAGAGGTGAACGGCGAGCTGAAAGCCAGGATCTTCGCGCCGCCGGCCTCTCCGGCGCTTGGCCAAGGAAGTGGTGCTATCCGTTGGACACGATTTGGTACAACGGATCGAATTTTTTTGGCTTTCATGAGCGGAAGACAGGAGGGAACAACTGGCCAAACCAGACACTGCCGTCGGCACCGCCTCCTCCGATGGGGAAAATTGATCGCGGCCGAAACAAGGCCATGGGCGAAGCGGCCAGCGAGGCTGCAGCTCAGGGTTCGGAGGGCGTGGAGGGCGCTCCGATCCCGAGAAGAGTCGTAGGTCATTTTCACATCACCAATCAAGAAGGGTGTGAAAGAAAAAGTATTATTTATAACTTTCCCACAGCCATGCCAGAGTGTGGAGCAAAGTGCCAGGGCAAAGTGCTTTGAGATCTTTGAGGTTTGAGAGGACATGGAAGTAAGTTAGAGGTTGAAAACAAAGACAACATGTGCGAGAAAGGCCGGGGATTTGTATTTCACGGGGAAACTATCCACCAAGGGGTTGCTGTCTATTTTTGTTCTTCCAGGGGGTCTGATGGGGGTCTCCCTATCCAATTACACACTTGAAAGTCACGGCCAACAGCATTTACTGCAAGCGATCGAGGTGTATCCAAGAGATCTTGATGTGTTCCAAGAATCAGCGCTTGGTACAGCAACATAGGAAGGGTTGAGAAGGAGCCCGGATGAAGGTAATGAAAACAGAGGTTCCTTCTATAAGGAGTACAAGACCCATCCCACTGCTTTGCAGAGTGCAGAGAAGGGCTCTGTCTGGGTATCTTGCGTTTTGCCAGGCTGTCAAGAAAGCTGGGAGAAGATATAAAGCATGGTAAAATGCTGGTGAAACATACATGAAACCTTTTTACCAAGTAAAGAGGCCTTCTTCTTAGTGTAAGGAAAGGGTGAGCTTCTCCCTTCAGCGTTTGCTTGGGCTCTTTATAGCGACTGACTGCTGCCCGAGAGCTAGGCAGAGAAGAAGCGGAAGGAGGCCGGAGGAAGGATCGGAGTGTAGCCAAAAGGATTGGTTGGAAGAAAGCGGGTTGGTTGGATTGATTCCAAAGGTCTTCAGCTCAATTAACATCAGATTGAAGAACTAGTTCTGAACTTCGGAGTGGAGAAGTGTCCCGGTCGCGATGTCATCATATACTGTAGAGAACCATAGAACAAAGTCCCTACAGATCAACCACCGATCACTGCTGGGCGGAAGAATTTTGAGCAGATGCCAAAGGGACCCATAAGGCCAAAGGCAGTGCTTTGAATCTTTTGGAAGCTCTATGAGGGTCTATGAAAATGCTTTAGGGCCCAGGGCAGCAAGATGATTCAGAGCGAAGTTATTGAAAGACATATTCCGAAATGAAGAATTCCACCAGCCACGTGCCCTGAATCTTAACCAATCCTATCAGGGGCCGGGGAGCATCCATTGGAACAAAGGGAGCTTAATTCGCAAGAATCATAAAATGATTGTGAATAGGATATGAGTATTGAGTATGTGTGAAGAGAGATGTTGTTGGGGAGTTGCGCGTTTTTGGCTTGGAATACCGTGGGTGTATGATCCCCTCACATTTTCCTCCGCATGTATCTCAACGTGTTGACCTGTACCATATTCGGCTTCAATCCAGGATCTGACGCACATTGACAGCAAGGCCACGGTTCGGTTCGGTCCGACTTTTCTGAACCTAATCTGAGCCCGTGCGCAGCTCGGTTTTGTTTCGGTTCGGTTTCATGCTTCCAATTTCTCAGTTCGCGCGGTTCGTGCTTTCCCAGAGTTGCTGAAGAGGGTGCGCAGGCACACAGACACACTCTGACATTGGTTTTCAGTTAACTCAATTCCCAGGTCGAAGGAAGGTGATGGAACCGAAGGTGAAAAGTCCAAGGAGTTGAAGGTGTTTGAACAACTGTTTCTCTCAAGCTGCAAAACGAAGTGTTCACAAAACGCGCGGCTCAGCTGCAGCAACGCGGTAGAAAGGGTTTGTGGGAGGTATCGTGTGCAAACCACCATGGAAACAAAAAACAGCGGCCGAGGGAAACCAGTGGAGTCAATGTGTTAGTCGCAGGTACAGGTGGATGATCAGTCCACCCTTCCCTCGTCATACCGTAGCTTTGTTGCGTACGGTGGGTATGACAAGCCGTACGCCCCTGCGTTCCAAAAAAACTCTTAGTTACAGAGGTTGACGCGCGCGCACACACACGGCGCCGCTTTGCGGCGCTCGCGCGGAGGGCCTGAATAGATACCTAAAAGACCTTAGAAACAAAAAGAAACACAGAAAGAGCAGCGCTAAGAGGGCAAGAGAGAAAGATAGGAGTAGAAAAAAGTGAATACTTAGCCCTTGACTGGGGTAGGGAAACGAGCCTCAAGAACAACCTAAAAAGCCTGAGAGAAAGCCCAAGAAACGACCAAAAGCGTAAGAAAGAAAGTGGGGGGCAGGGAGGGGATGTATGTGGCATGTGTGTGTCCGTGTGTGTGTGTAACCCTTGGAATCATAGGGTCCTTTTGGATTGGTTCGGTTTGCTTTTTTGGTGTTTAGCTTTATGTCAGAGCAGGGGGGCTGGTTGTTCATGCAAGTGCCAGCCCAACGAAGAGGCTTGCATTGAACACTGATATCGGTGGGGACGCTCACCGACGTACCTGCATTTTCCTTTTTCCGAATGGCATGAGGCTAAGCCTAGAACCTCACCTGCTGCAGACAAGAGCGATCGTCGTCATTTCGACCTGTTCGTCGCCTTCGACCTTGCGCTTTTGGCCTCACTTCCTCTTCCAGACCCCCAGGCTCCGATGGTCCTGGTACTCTTAGGAAATGGAACCCTAGGCCGGCGTGTGGCACCGCTGTCAAGTCAGTACGCATATCCATAAGTGTGTTTGGCTTCGTGCCAACCCGGGATGAGCCCGCAGAGTGCCTCCCGTGGACCCGTCGAACGGGTGTACGCCCATGTTCCTCGGCTTTGGGAACGCAGATGTCCATAGCGGACAGCAGGTGGCCTAGGCCGTACGTCCGAAGATTTTTGTCCCATCTTTGGAATACCAAGTTGGCATATGCCTTTACGTGACCGCAGCGGTCAAAGCAGCCAGCCATTTCGGCAAGGCACAAGGTGACCAGAGCGGTCAAAGCCAGTTTTAGGTTCATTGGAACCTGTTGGAGCCTTAGTTTTTCAGCTGATCCTCCTCCTCTCGCCATGTTCCCTTCCTCCTTCTCCGCTCCCCGCTCCTCTTTGGTGTGTCCCTGGACGCTTGTTTCGTAGCTGGGAGCACCTCTCTCTCTCTCTCTCGCTCTCTCCTTTTCTTGACGGGTGTGTCCTTGGACGCTTGAGTGGTAGCTGGGAACACCATCGGCTCATTCCTTTTCTCGTTTCTCGTTTGGTGTGTCCTTGGACGCTGGGCTCGTAGCTGCTCTCTCTTTCTCTCTCTCTCTCTTTCTCTCTCTCCCTCTCCCTCTCGCTCTCTCTCTCTCTCTCTCACTCTCTCTCTCTCTCTCTCTCTCTCTCTCTCCCCTCCCTCTCCCTGCGCCTCCCGCCGCTCTGCTGCTCTCTCCTACCGGCCTCGCCGCCTACACCTTGCCACACACAGGCCTTCATCCTTTCCTTTCCCTTCCTTACGCCGGGGTCTACACCCTACCGGATAACAGCGTGCAGGGGTGTCTTTCAGTGTGCAGCTGGCAACCGCACCAACCATCCTTCCTCCAGTTTACAAGAAACGGTCACTTCTTTTCCGTTTCTCGTTCTTCCTCTTCCTGCGCCTCCACATACCTTTCCTGTCCCTACTGGATAACCGCGTGCAGGGGTGCCTGGGCCTTTTACTGTGCAGCTGGCAACCGCACCAACCATCCTCATTGAAATCTCACCCCACCTTTGGCGCGGAGCTTAACTTCTTGCCTCCCTTCGGGGAAGCGTGTGTGTGTAACCCTTGGAATCATAGGGATCCTTTTGGATTTGTTCGGTTTGCTTTTTTGGTGTTTAGCTTTATGTCAGAGCAGGGGGGCTGGTTGTTCATGCAAGTACCAGCCCAACGAAGAGGCTTGCATTGAACACTGATATCGGTGGGGACGCTCACCGACGTACCTGCATTTTCCTTTTTCCGAATGGCATGAGGCTAAGCCTAGAACCTCACCTGCTGCAGGCAAGAGCGATCGTCGTCATTTCGACCTGTTCGTCGCCTTCGACCTTGCGCTTTTGGCCTCACTTCCTCTTCCAGACCCCCAGGCTCCGATGGTCCTGGTACTCTTAGGAAATGGAACCCTAGGCCGGCGTGTGGCACCGCTGTCAAGTCAGTACGCATATCCATAAGTGTGTGTGCGTGTGTCTGAATACTTAGCACTCTAGAGCTACTGATTACTTAGCAGAAATGAATTAAGTGCAATAGTTAGGGAGCGGGACTTTAGTCTTAAACCGCCCGGGTAGAGTAGACTAGAAAAGGGACAACCGACGGAAAGGCGCCGACGCACAAGTGTGTCGAGTACCATTTCCCTGTGTTACCCTAATTAGGTAGGGGGTAGAACTCGGCGGGGGGGGTTTGGGACAACATGCCTGGCCTCAAGTGGAACCGAATTCCGTTTTTTAGCCCGGCGGCTGTGGTATCATATCGTGAAAGCCCGACAGCTCTTAAGGCAGTTAAGTCAGTATTGAAGAAAAGTCGGCGAAGAAAATCCAACGAATGGTGGAGAACGTTGAATCTGTTACACGATTTCCGGCATGAATTCAGCGCCCCAGTGACGGGGATCACACCCAGCGCCCACGTGGGACGGCTGATTAACTCAATTCCCAGGTCGAAGGAAGGTGATGGAACCGAAAGGTGAACAGTCCAAGGAGTTGAAGGTGTTTGAACAACTGTTTCTCTCAAGCTGCAAAACGAAGTGTTCACAAAACGCGCGGCTCAGCTGCAACAACGCGGTAGAAAGGGTTTGTGGGAGGTATCGTGAGCAAACCAACATGGAAACAAAAAACAGCGGCCGAGGGAAACCAGTGGAGTCAATGTGTTAGTCGCAGGCACGCGCAAGGCAAACAAAAACATACGGCCAAAATTATAATTGGTTTTTCACGGGGGGGAAAACCACCTATCCATCCCGCTGAAGGAAACACGCCCACTACGTGTGACACGTTTAAGACCATCGACCCCGGAGTACGCTAGTCGCTGCTCATGTCTCCGATGTCAGGCCGATGAAATCCACATCCCAAAGTGTCCAGACCGCAGCTTCTAGTCAATGTTTATTGTGAGTTCCTTATCTTCCAAGTTCTGGTCACTTAGGATAGGGTGTACGGAACTGAAAGCGGTGCCACACGCCGGCCTAGGTTACCATGTCCTAAGAGTACAGGTAAGGAAACCTGAAAAGGAAGTGGAGGCCCATCAAGTTCAGCGTGGCCATCAACTCTAAAGGAACCATCGAACGATCGATCGACGGAATGACGTCGTCCGCTCACATCTGCAAGTCAAAAACCAAAGCCCTATGCGTGACTGCCGAGAGCAAACCGATGCAAAGGCTGGATGTCTTGTTCTAGTTGGAAGCAGGGCCCAGGATGAAGTGTCTCAAGTAAAACTGCAGGTACGCCAGACTGATCAGGTCTGGTTTCACCGCCAAGTGCACGTGTAGGAGACTTGCAATGGCGCTCCTGCCCCCTGCCAAAAAGAGACTAAAGCAAGCGCAAAAGTACAATCCAAGTGGATCCCTGTGACTACAAGGGGCACACACACACACACACACGCCTCTCCAAGGGGAGGCAAACTTGTTTCTAAGCGCCAAGCCGGGTTCGTTTGGGTGAAACTAGCGAAATTGACTATTTTTCCGCACACACAAAGAAAGGGTACGGTGAAACCAATGGGTTAGCAGGAAAGGAAGGAGGGGAACTCATCGCTCTGAGAGACTAAGGCTCCAACAGCTTCCAATGAACCTTGAGAAAACTTCGGTCGCTCTGACCACGTTGAGGCATTAAGCCAGCTTGGACCGCTGCGGTCACGTAATGGCATGAGCCAACTTGGAATTCAATAATTCGTCTTGTCTTGGCAAATAACTTTGGCATTGGCCTCCTACGCCCGCTCTAAGCACGTACATCTTTGGCCAAGGGAGATAACGACAAACCCCCGTTCGACGGGTCCACGGGATGTGCCTCAGTAGGAAAGGCACACTTAGGATAGGGTGTACGGAACTGAAAGCGGTGCCACACGCCGGCCTAGGTTACCATGTCCTAAGGGTTCAGGTAAGGAAACCTGAAAAGGAAGTGGAGGTCCATCAAGTTCAGCGTGGCCATCAACTCTAAAGGAACCATCGAACGATCGATCGACAGAATGACGTCGTCCGCTCACATCTGCAAGTTAAAACCAAAGCCCTATGCGTGACTGCCGAGAGCAAACCGACGCAAAGGCTGGATATCTTGTTCTAGTTAGAAGCAGGGCCCAGGATGAAGTGTCTCAAGTAAAACTGCAGGTACGCCAGACTGATCAGGTCTGGTTTCACCGCCAAGTGCACGTGTAGGAGACTTGCAATGGCGCTCCTGCCCCCTGCTAAAAAGAGACTAAAGCAAGCGCAAAAGTACAATCCAAGTGGATCCCTGTGATTACAAGGGGCACACACACATTCTGTTTCAGAAATGAAGGCAGGGACCATCGTATATATCCAGAAGTTGTATTTGACCCTGATACCTACTGCTTGGAAACTTC